ATCAACCGCCAAAATTCTTGGAATCTTTCTATAAAAACCCTTTTTATACTCTGAATCCTCAACCACATTCGCACGACCGATCTCTTTGCTGTATAACCAATAGAATTCTTCGCAGAAGCCTCGCCAACCACCCGACCGCTAACCTGATCACAGTGAATAACCCACCTGTGGAAATCACTCCCTAACATCTTCCAACGTTGCTGCACGGGGTACAATCACTATGACATCAATAACCCATCCTGAGTCCGAGCTCACTCTCTAGCTACACAAGTCCATTCACCCCTCATGGACATCAATTAAATGTGCGGCAACATCCTTCCAATTCAAAGTTATGTTGTATCCTTCTTTATTTCAAGCAGCTCCTTTCTGTTATATCAAATCTCCTGCCGCATAATAGTCCATACTTCAAAGTAATCCGTAGGCCCTAATCGCCAATCACTAAAATTCCCAAATCGCTCCAAACCCTCCTTAAGGGGTGTAGTCATCTTACCACCAGACCCATATGCAACTCCACCACTCCCCCACTTTGGCGAAACTCACCCCTTTAGTCGACCACTCGACCTTTGCTTTTTATACCTGGCCTTTTAGAAAATTTAACCACCGCTTGACACTTCCCACATGTCCTTCCTCATCTTTTGCTGCTCAGTTGTTGCCTTAATAAAATCTACCTTCGTAGCACTTGAACCCACAAATCGCTACTAACTTTAAACCTTTCCGGAGATCATCTTTCTCTAGCCGTCGACATTAGAAACACCGACTAAATCCTGAACCACCGCACCCCGCGATCTCTGACCGTCGTTTCTTCAATACTGTTTGGCAATATCCTGCTCCAAAGGCGAATTGTAGAAGATCATAACACCGGCGAACCTAGTACATAAGGAAAACGACACCTCATCATAGAAGAAAACTCCACCACGCTCGCAAATACCAAGTTTCGTTACTCCATCAACCCAAATCGAAACATTTTTAGTCTGATTAGCTTTCCCCTACCGGGAATAAAATACCGAATCTCTAGATCGTGCACTGAGTAAACCTCCCTTCAAGTCATTCACTGCCCCGACACGTAGGCAAACATCTTACCATCATATCAATACTGCAGAACAATAGTTCATAGCATCATGGCATCTTGTGCCTAGCCTCAGAGCTCTCAGAAGTACCATTACTGAGCTGAAACGATAGAATATCCTTCCACAAGGCGACGATAATAACTTAGACATCTCATCCCGCACCACATTCATAGTGCCATTACAATCCTTCTATTCTCGACTTATAACTAGCGGTTCGTGTCGCGTAAGATTGAGTAGGAAGGAAACAAAGGATTAAGCCTCAAGGAATCAAATAGCACGATGAGGAATCAAGAAGGGAAGTACTCTTAACAGTCCTGTAGCCTCCCGAAGATAAGTAAAGACGTCTCCATACCGACCCGCAAGACTCTACTAGACTTGCTCATGACTCGTGAGACCTAAGGGAACCTAGTGCTCTAAAACTATCTTGTCACGACCCAAATTCCACTAAGGGTCGTGATGGCGCCGGACACCACTGTCAGGCAAGCCAACCATAAATACTTAATTAAATTCTCATTTAAACAATTGTGAAAAACTCTGTTTTTTTTCTTCAATTTTTACTAATAAAAGATATTCAGCTCAAATTAAATATACATGTCAAGAAGTCAATACAAAATACCCCATAACTATCCCAGAACACGGTGTCACAAGTGCGTGAGCTATTCCTAGGAAGCAATACAATACAACAACCGTCCGGAATACAAATTGGACAGAAAATAAATACAATAATCTAGAAGAGAATCTACTAGCGGGTTGTCTCGAGAAGTGCAGTTCACCTAAGTCTCTGTACCATGCTGCTATGCCCATCGAGCCACTAGTGATGCATGTGCCTGTGCAACAAAAATGCACAATAAGTGTAGTATGAGTACGAAAACAACGTGTACCCAATGAGTATCCCGTCTAATCTCGAAGAAGTAGAGACGAGAGGTCCACTTCGACACTTACTAGTGGTCCAATAATGTTATATCAATAATATATTAAATCGTGGATTTTTATAAACATGATTGTAATTCGATAGGCTGAAGCAAGTAAACAATTCTTTCTTTTATAGGAAATTTCCAAATTCCTTTTCATCATTTATACATATATTCTTAAGTCGGGAAGAGGCAATAACAACTTCAATAAGTTTCAAGCCAAGCAATGCAAGCATGCGCAAATCATGCCGAGGTCGTACAACCCGATCCAACATAAATGTAAAATGTGCATTGCCGAGGTTCGAACGACACGAACCATAGATGCATCTATTATCCCGCTCGCGAATCCTCTATGCGACGCGGTCAACATAAAATAAAAAGCACCCTGCTCACGAATCATACATGCGATGCAGGTACACATAGAATCACATATTCAAACAGTTAATCCAGACTTCATTAGGGAACAACTATCCAATGAAAATTTAAATCCTCCTTTTTTAACGATTTAAGAAACATGAAGTTTAATCCTTTTAGAAATTCATTTACCAATTCGATAGAATTTAAGCAATTCGAAACGTCAATAGGATTACAAATATTTCCAAGTACAACATGCTTTTGACTCCTATATTACCCGGACAATAGCATAATAGTAGCTACGCATGGACTCTTGTCACCTCGTGCGTACGTAGCCCCCACAAATTGGAGCACATAACCAATTATTTCACCTATGGGGACAATTCCCCCTTACAAGGTTAGAAAGGAGACTCACCTCGCTCCGAAGCCTAAATTCCGATTCAAGAACGCGCTCAAACCTCCAATTTGGAGCCGAACGATCCAAAACTATTTAAATAGGGTAAGAACTAGTCAATACATGCTCAAAAGTTCATATTCTAACTATTAAACCAATTTCCCAAGCCTAAATGCAAGGTTCCTAAAATTCATCTCCGGGCCCACGTGCTCGGATTCCGGAAATTTTTGAAGAAAATTGTTACCCATAACCTAAGGATCAAGAATATATGATTTTTACTCCATTCTCTAATAAATTTCGTGGTTAAATCTTGTTTTTACCAAATTCTAGGTTTTTCATCTAAAACCCTTGATTTTTCCTAATTTTCACATGTTAATCTATCCATAATCTATGTATTTAATTCAAGATAGGTGGGGATAACTTACCTTATCGTTGATGATGAATACCCCCCTCTTGAAACCCTCCAAGAATCGCCAAAGCCAAGAGAAAAATGAGAGAAAATGGCCAAATCCCGATTTTTAAAACACTCGCTCCCTCCAGTCCTTTCGCACCTGCGGTCTATTGACCGCTTCTGCGGTCGCGCAGGTACGGACCAATTGCCGCTTCTGCGGTCTCCCCCAAGCCTTCAACTTCCGCATCTGTGCTTCTCTTTTCGCAGGTGCGGTCCCGCATTTGCAGCAAAATGACCGTATCTGCGGTCCCAGCCTAGTCGTCCATTTCCGCTTCTGCGGCGCGAATGCCGCTTCTGCGGCTCTGCACCTGCGACCCTAGTTTCGCAAGTGCGGTTACACCAGCACCTTCAGCCTTCTCCAAAATTCCATTTTCGATCTGTTAACCATCCGGAATCTACCCAAGGCCCCTGGGACCCCAACCAATCATACCAACCAGTCCCAAAACACATTACGGACTTGCTCGAGGCCTCAAATCATATCAAACAACGCTAAAACCACAAATCGACCTCCAATCCAAGCTTTATGAACTTTAGAATTTCAAACTTCTACTTTCGATGTTTAAACCTATAAAATCACGTCCGATTGACTTCAAATTTTGCAAACAAGTCATATTTGACATTACGGATCTACTCTAACTTCCGGAATCAGATTCCGACCCCAATATCAAAAAGTCAACTCTCGATCAAACTTCTCAAAAAAACCTTCAAATTTCTATCTTTAGCCAAGTGACTCCAAAATGACTTACGGACCTCCGAATTCACTTCTGATCGCGCTCCCAATACCAGAATCACCATACAGAGCTATTCCCAGACTCAGAATGCCAAATGAACATCAATAATGCTGAAATGCACTTCAATCCAGACTTATGAAATTTCTTCCAAAATGCTAACTTCCACAATAGGCGCCAAAACGCCCCTGGGTCATCCAAAACCCGATCCGTCCATACGCCCAAGTTCAAAATCATCATACGAACCTGCTGGAACCTTCGAATCCCGATTCCGAGGTCGTTTACTAAAAAATCCAATTTTAGTTAATTCTTTCAACTTAAAGCTTACGAAATGAGAATTCTCTTTCCAAATCAACTCTGAACTACCCTAAATTCATTTCCGACCATGCGTACAAGTCATAATACCTGAAGTGAAGCTGCTCATAGCCTGAAACTGCTGAACGACGCGCTAGAGCTCAAAACGACCGGCCGAGTCGTTACAAGTTGAGGTGTTCAGTTGATCATTGAGAACAACTTAAAGAGGCACTTTATGTATTTAATGAAACAATAAACTTTCTGAAACAGGAAAAACAGAAACAGAAAGTTAGCAACAATAAAATGTCGAAATAATTTCTGGAAAAACAATTTAGGAATAAATCGAGCCCGTTGAAGGGATAGTGTGTCCTTAAGAAAATTATTCCCCTCAAATACCCCAGGTGCTGGAATATTAACCTCCCAAGATAGAACAATTTGAAAACGGATTTAAAATAATCCGGGTCATTGAAAAAAAATTGTCCAAAAAGATTAATCAATCAATCGTTGACCGAAGCCGAAGCCGAGCGAGCGATGACGGCGCGAGGCTTACCTTTTTCTTAACTCTTTAAGATCTAGAAGAAGAGCAATTGTATATATACCCATCAAAAGTTTTTTCTTCCTCCAATATGGGACAATGTCCCTTTGCCAAGGAGAGAACTCTAATATTTCATTTTCCATTCCATTTCACATTCACCCTCTTTTAAGCTAAACCAAGCTTAAAAACCCAACAAATTTGAGGACATCAATCTATCAAAATATTGAGTATCATTGCTTAAGTTCAACTTATGTTTAAACAAAAGATGATAAAGTACTTTTGCTTCACAGTTAATCCATCCAAAACTTTATGCCCTTACATTGTACAATATACAAGCTATTACATGCACAAGTTACTGTATTGAAATAATGCAAAAAAAAAAAAAAAAAAAAAAAAAAAAAAAAAAAAAAAAAAAAAAAAAAATCAAAAAGAAAATACTAGTCATCTTCAGTGATAAAGTCCAAAGATGGCAACTCCACATGAGGAAGCTCAGGAACTTTTAGCTTTGGGAGAGACATAGCCTCCACCTTATGTTTTAGCTGCTTGGCGGAGTCGTTTAAATCGCCTTCTTGAACGTTTAATGGAGGTGGGGGGCGCTTAATCCAGCTTGTTACCATACTACCAATGGATCTAAGAGGATGATTTAATCCATCTTTCATTTTCAAAATGAGAGAGACCTCGGATAGTTGCCATGTTAAGGTGAGGACTATCATAGCTGATAAAAGGCAATGAGTGACAAAGTTCTGCTTCTGAATCTTCCTTAGTTCTTTTACAACATTTTCTTCTTTTTCTCTGTCTACATCATCTGATGGAATTTCTTCTAAGTTGGTTGATTGACTCATTTGATCAAGTGGGCTATCTTCTTTCAGTGATTCTAGCTGTTAAAAGAGTTATAAATTTGAGTAATACACTTTGAATATAAATTTTATGCACTGACCGATGTTAAAAAAAGAATATGATGATTACTTATAAAATAATTATCTGTACACATACTAACTGGTAACCATAAGAAAATGAAATACAAGGCCAAAATACATTAATAATGTAAGAAAATATTCACACGGTTGGTCAGTTAGTGTATATAATTTAAATATTTTTTCTTTAATCGAAAAAGTGGCTCATGAAGAATGAATCCTCTGTACACAATACTTTAACGAAGTGGTCCAGCCGGAATTTGGGCTCTGTTTTAGACTAAGTTTTTTGAATTTTAAACAAGTATACAATAAAAATATTTTTTTTAAAGGTTAAAAGCTTCAAAGAAAATAATAATTACTAGAAGTTTAATAATAAAAATACCGTAATATTTTGGCGAAGTACTATATAGTTTGATCATAAGCACTTTTATTTTTGTCTATTATTGAATAAAATACTAAATAAAAAAATTAAATAAAATATCATACTTACTAGGGGAAATATTTTAGAAAGAGGGAGATAAAGATAGTTGTATGCGGCGAAATCAGAAGACTTGATTTCTCGCTGTCGGGACATTTCGGAAGCATGTCTCGTGACCCCGAGGGCGAGAGGCCGCGACCAAATTCCCGACCTCCGGGCTCGTCGGAGCCCGACTCGGAGGAAACAAAGACCGAAGCCAGGACAGAGGGGGAAGCCCCCAAGGCACATGGCTACGTCTGATAGGCCCGGCCTATCCAGAGCCTACGCTGAGGCATCACGTCAAACCATCTCATCTCCGTACTTTGTGTTTAATCTCCACATATTTGTACCATACCGTGTTCCCTCGCCTATATAAGGGGAACCCATACCACTTTGTAAAGGGCTGATGTTGCTCCATTTCTCTACTAAAGCAATAATATCTCTCTCTTTCTCCTATTTTGTTCGTTCTCATTGGCTCGAGGCCAGTTTAACATCTATTGTCTTCTTACTTATTTCATGCTATATTGCGCAACTTTGGCCGTAAAGAGCCTTGCTTGATCATCGTATCCATAGTTGTTATCCTATTCCCGGTTGCCCCCGATAGCTCGAGCTCAATTTGAGTCCCGACCCCGAGGTCCTTATCGACCGGCTTTGCATCCGGGAAATGGTGAATCCATCACTAATGGAAGGGGAAAATATTACCTCGGGTATACGAAGGCAAGGCAAAGGCAGCATACGCACATACCTTGGTACTGCGCTCCCCATCCGGTACGAAATACAGCTCACCACTTGCGCTCGTCACAGGACGAATGATTCACCAGCTTCCGGACCCAACCGGGAAGATCATGGACTTCACCCGGCATCCACGAAGTTGCTGCAACAAGGGAGACAACATTATTACGCAGCTGATTTTCGCTATAGGCGAAATCTGAAAAAGCGACAAACGCCTCACTCACGTGCATAATTCCACCCTTCGGGAAATGGAAAAAACTCCACAGGGATAATGTTGGTCGTCCGGACCCGGATAAACCAACTGGCCCACTCTTAATCCCCGCTTTTCTCATCATCAATAACAAAGGGCGTGGACGAGCGACATCTCAGAGTTAGCAGGCCTCGACGATGAAATGGCCAATATAGCCTGACAAGGTGATCAAACGTGAATTCAAGCCCGACCTTCTCCGCGAAGAACCTCATCATCAACGCCGTTCGCCAAAACGACGGATGAATCTGTGCCAGGGTAACCCGATACTTCAAGCAAAAATCAAGCACGACCCTATCAGGGGGCCAAATGCGAAATGGTATAGATATACGCTCAAGATCCATCGGTGGAGTCCGCAATGCCCTCATCTGGGGAAAACACCTACAGTGTTATCCCCTCGCTCCACCCGTAGTATCTCCTCGCCATCTCCAGGTGTTCCTATCTTATCAAGGACTCCATCTCCAGAGTGAACTCCCTCGGTTCCTGAGCACCAGGAGCAACACCCTCGTCCCCTACCGGATCGGCCCCGAAATGGTTTCCATGACTATGGTGAAACTAACAGGTCAAAGCAAGAGCGCGCACTAACACTTTTTGCTCCTAAAGAGACGAAGTACTCTGTGACAAAGCAGAAAGGCGGCTATCTAAAAATAGTGAAGTCCTGCAAAAAAGCCGAAGCCGACCCACATATATGCAAGAAGCAGCGACGATTCGCTTGCCCGAGGTAGGCCCCGGGAAGCCAACAGCCTCGATACAGATCGACTGTTCAATACCCAATCCAGAAAGCATCATTCAACGAGGAGTCAAGAATCGAGGGGCCGTTCGTATTATCTCTGAGCTCAAGATAGCACTCTACGTCAAGAACCCCGGTCCAAAGAAGTCGGACTTCGGGAAGCTTTAAACGCCAACACTTGACGCAAGGCAAGTACCTGGTCTCGTGATCCCCTCTTTCTGAAAAGAGGAATAAACGTAGGAAGCTCTGATCGCGAAAGCTCCACGAAGGCCCGAGGAAGCGCCTAAATACAGGAAAACTTCTCAGCAGAAGTCTATCCTATACATTCTAAATGGGCTATCTACATCAAGATCAATAGGAGCTCGCGAGTACCCCGAAGATGACCTTCATCCAGGGTAACATTCTTGAAGGCCCCAGAATTCGACGCATGATCTCCATACAACTCGGAGGGCCTCGATAGCCCAGACCTATCAGATCAATCCAAGATTGGTCCAAAGTACGACGATAGGTTCGGATGAGAGCTATGCCGATCAGCAGAAGACCGGGACGGATGCCTACGCCCAAGACCGATATCAGCAGCCAGCAAACAAAAGAAAGTGTTCAAAAGGCCCCGAAGGGAATGAGAGCATACGGAAACAAAGCAAAGTTCGAAAGTAAAAATCAACGGGGTATATTCTTATTTATAAAAGTTTGTGTACAAGCAGCCCTCGAGGGGTCGTTACATACAACTTGCAAAAGCCTATAGGAGTCTACGCCCAAAGTGGAGGAATGGAAGGATGTACATGCGATGAAACCCGGCGCCCGGTCCGCCCTCAAGAGTCCATCTCCGGTATCAGCATCCTTGGGCGCCGCACCCTCGAGCACGTATCCTCGAGGGTGACTCCTTCGATCTCCACCTCCCATAGGTTCCCAGCTCAATCCCCCGAGGTATCCCCACCGGAGAAGATGAAGAAGATTATAAGAAGGGAAAGGCAAGCGAGCCAACGGAAGCACTGGGATAGGAAAAGCAAAGCCAAGGCCCCCCATTTATAGGAGATTACGACACAGTCATCTAGGCTTTGGAAGGCTGACCGACGGGCACAATTAACGCATCCATGGAAAATCGAGTCGAGGCGGTACCTTCACCTTGCAAAACGAGAATCAGGAGTGCAATAAATGAAGTTGAAAAGCACGAGCATGTGGATGTCCAATCACCACGAAGCTCAGGCTAGGAGTCGCATCGTCGGTACGTCGTCGCCGAAAGAAGCTCAAAGAGTCAAGTGTTAGAATCATTTCCCATCTCTTCATTATGGGAAACGCAGAGACTATCTGTATGCGGCAAAATCAGAAGAATTGATTCTCGCTGTCGAGACATTTCAGAAGCATGCCTCGGGACCCCGAGGGCGGGAGGCCACGACCAAGTTCCCTACCTCGGGGCTCGTCGGAGCCCGAATCGGAGGAAACAAAGGTCGAAGCTAGGACGGAGAGGGAAGCCCCCAAGGCACATGGCTACGTCTGACATGCCCTAACCTATCCAGAGCCTATGCTGAGGCATCACATCAAACCATCCCATCTCCGTAATTTGTGTTTAATCTCCACATATTTGTACCATATCGTGTTCCCTCACCTATATAAGGGGAACTCATACCACTTTGTAAAGGGCTGATGTTGCTCCATTTCTCTACTAAAGCAATAATATCTCTCTCTTTCTCCTATTTTGTTCGTTCTCATTGTCTCGAGGTCACTTTAACATCTATTGTCTTCTTACTTATTTCATGCTATATTGCGCAACTTTGGCCGTAAAGAGCCTTGCTTGATCGAATCCTTAATTGTTATCCTATTCCCGGTTTTCCCCGATAGCTCGAGCTCGATTCGAGTCCCGACCCCGAGATCCTTATCGACCGGCTTTGCATCCGGGCAACAGGCCCCTTCGGTTTGATTACTGTCTTGTTTTAGCTCGCATTTCATCGTTAAGCTTCATGTTCTTAACATCAACTGCTCTAACAACTAGCTCGTGAATAGATCACGTATTTTTAGAATCCCATTTACAAATTTAATTGTTGTTACCACGGTAAACAATAGTGTGAGTGAATTTATACTTTGAATTAATTAAAATGATAAAATAAAGCAAATAAATAATTAATACTCAAAAAATATTATTCATAAATTCAAATATTATATAGTGAAAGATTAAAAATAAATAAAAAGATTATTTTAAGAGAAAGAAAAACCATATTCATTGTAGTATATTATAATAGAAGTAGCAGATAGGGATATAACGTAGGTGACAAGCTAATAAAAAGTTAAGTAATAATGTAGCCATACTAAGTAACGGGTAACACAGTAACAATAGACAAAGAAAAAAAATAGACAATTTTTTTTTGTAAACAAATAACATATTTGTAGATATATAAAAGGATTAGACATTTAAATTTGATATAAGAAAACTTTTTGAATTATTACGAGAAAAAATATATTATATAGATAATATCACGCAATTAAAAACATAATTTATAAACCTAAAATTTAAAACATTTACAATGAAATAACGACAAGAAATAAATTAACAATATAAAGATGTAATTAAAATTGTCATGTAGTTAAGTTATAAAACAAATTAAAGTCAAACCTCTATATGAAAACAAAAGGAACATTATTAATTGCTTATTGCACATAATACTAAATAATAATTACTAAAAGTGTAAATTTATGGAAAATAATAAAAAAACTTCTTCGTTTTAACTTTGCCATAATTTCAAAAGAATTAGAAAAATAATACGATAATGTTTATATTATAGATACAACACGAAATGTGAAAAATAATTAAAATATTATATGATATAAAATAATGTATATAGAGGAGAATAGAAGTAATGTGAAGGGGTCTACACTTTAAATTTGTTTAATAAAATAATTAAATAGGAAAAATAATATTATTGATAAATTTACATTGTATTATACTAAAAGTAGAGCAATGAGTAAAGCTAATATAAATCCACTTGGCAAATTATGACAATATTTCTTCTAGTATTTAATTTAAATTGAAAGACAGGATATTTATTTAAATTTAAATAGAAAGATCCTCCGTAAATAAGATTCTTTTGAATCTGAATGGAAAAAAAGTTAAATTTGAATTGATTAATTAATTAATTAGGAAAACTAATCAACACATAAATGTTCCAATTCAAACGGGAGGATCAACGAGTGAGGCGAATTGTTTTAAATAAAGATAAAGAGTTTTTTGAAATTTGAGTTCACAACAAAAACAACATAAAAAACAAAAACATGTTTGTTACTAGAAATAAGACTAAAAAATCTAGGTTTGAACCCATAATCATAATTACCGAGTTGTTGGATCAAAACTTAACTTTCGTAACTACCTTAAGGATAATGTTTAACTATGAATCGACTCAGACAATGGCTAAACAAATGTCAATTGTGTTGCCTTGCGATAAAATTAATTATCCAATATTTTATAATTTACTTTATATCTCAATTGTTTGGAAGCAATACATACATTTTTTTTCCTTTTTTTCATTTTTCTATTAGTGCTAGCAGTTGCTATGCTAAAATATATAAGAAGGGAGGATAGATTCTTCTCTAATGACTCAGGTATGGACAATGACTTTTTAGCGCATTGTTGATATTTATGTTCTCTCAAATTTCGCGCGTGTGTGTGTGTCTCAATTAGAATGAAATAGATTTGGATATGGTAAACACATAGATGAATATAATTGCACTATTTGGGATTGCTATTTACACAAAATAAAGTGAATCACAAAATCATAAGGTAAGATTCGTTTAATTAAGAATTACATGTAAGAACTCATCTTCTTTTAGTACATGTGCATCCTAGAACGAAGAATATTTAAAGTAGGTTAATATTTGTTTAATTATAATATATTAATCTTAACTATATCCCAAAGGTATCATTTAAATTGTTAAAAATAGTGTGACTTTAATTGTGTGGTTAAAATTGAGGTAACTAGCAAAATTATTAAGCAAATTACGATCCAATTGTTTTATAAGTTGGTAACTCCCAAAAGTTAGAATTCTCTTTAATATGGGGTTATAATATTTAAGTTTATGTCAATAGTTATTCATATAATTTGTTCTTTTTAATTTATAGAATTTAGGGATCATAATATTATCCGCAAATCGTGCGGGCACTAATACTAGTTAAATTTAAAACCAAATGGTTAACTGGAAAGTGAAATTAATTCTTATTAAATTAAGATGTAGGATGCTCTTTATAAAATAATTAGAGTATACACTTAAAAAGATTATTTATATGTTGGGCCCATGCTGAGCATGGACCACCCTTAACTAAATTTTTTTAAAAAATAAATGTGATAAGAAAAATCACACTTTGAAATATGAGCAATAGAGTCAAAGTTAATAGAAATAATATTTATAGTTATTTGTATTGCATTACAATAAGTATTGTATAAATGAATATTAAATTTAGAGATAATGTGAGGATATTTATACAAAATAAGAAGAACAAAACTTATTTAAATTTGAAATGAGAAAGTTTTGTTCAATTATGATAACAAATGACATGCATGTGGATAAAGCCACATAACTAAAGTCTAATAGATAAAATAAAAAAATAAAAAAATTGAATAATAAAACAGATTAGAGATAATGTGAGGATATTTATACTAAAAATTACTTTAGAAAATAAAATAAAGTAAGTATATAATGCTTAAAAATATATTGTTAAATTTAAATTATTTAAGAATTCAATCAATAGTTTAAAAATAAAACAAATATTTAATTTAATATCAAAAAAATCAAATATCTATCTATTTATATTAAAAATAATAGTGGATAAAAACATTAAATAAAGTGTAAATTTAATTGAAAAAATCACATGAAAAAGGTGATAATATTACATATTAGATAAAATTATAGAAAAAGAAAGAAAAACAATTAAAAATCAAAAATATCGATATTAAAAATAAAACGATAAGACAATTTGAACTTGAGATTAAAAAGTTCTTAAAGATATGATAAGAACACTCAAATACGGATATGACTACAAAATTGAAGTGTTGCTAGATAAAGATAAATAAAAAATTGACATCAAATTTCAAAATTAAATTTACTAAATAATTATATCATGCAAATAATTTTACTAATGAAAATTAAAAGTCAAATTTATATCTTGAAACTAAAAGAGAGAAAAAATTAATTGCACGTACTACAAAAAATAATTATAAGAAAATTTAATAGATTTGAAAGATTATAAAAGAACTTATGTAATATTTTTAGACTAATTAAAAGTTATATTTTAAAATAAAATATGATATTATTTTAAGTATACATAAAATATTTATATAAAAAACTAATTAAATTTTTTTAGTAGGGAAGACGATGTATAAAGAGGAAAATAGAGATAGTGCGAGGATATTCATATTTTAAAAATTATTAAATAATACTCATAAATTTATTGGTAGATTTAAATGATGAAAGAGTTCCGAGTAGGAGGATAATAGTATAAAAATATAGGAGTATTAAATTTCAAGAATAAAAAAAATTACATTATTTATTAAAAAGATAATAAGCAAGACATTAAGACAATTTATAAGCTAATAAAAGATCACATTACAATATACAATACTAAGTAATAAATAACGGAAAAACTATAATTTAGGAACAAAAAAAAAGAATCTAAAAAAGTAGAAGAATATGACTTATTTGGATTTGAGATGAAAAATAAAGTTATGGTAAGAATTTTGTAAAATAATATGATTTAATGTGCCAAACAAGACAGATCACAACGTTACATGTTTATTATTCGTTAATATTGACCGTAAAACAAAATACAAGTGCCAAAATCAAGGGGTTGAGTTATTACGGATATAGAAAAAGAATAGGTTATCCATTATTACGGATATAGAAAAAGAATAGGTTATCCATTATGATATTTTAAAAATGGTTTCATGTCCTGTTTTTTAATTAATATCTAATAATTATTTATAATTTCTATATAGAAGGTTTAATTTTGAAGTTATTTGCACATAATCCAAATAATCCAAACGATAATTTGACATGATTTATGTCACGGATACTAATACCAGTTGATAACTAAAAGAACAAGTACAGAACAAGTACAGGGAAGATGATAACAGACCAGCCCAATATGCAGAATCTAACCTTCTTTCATCCCGGTTTTTTATGGGGATTAGTTGCTTCTACTAGTGGTACGATATAATCTAAAATCTTAAGTTAGTGAGTTCTACCTAGAGAGTATGTATTTAAACTATGTAACAAAAAGTAATGAATTCAGTTGGTTCTGTTCTCTACCTTTAAAAAAAAATTACAATCGATTAATTTCTATTTAGTAACTCATCGTGAGCATTTATTAAAGAATGACTTTAATTATTAAATGATTGAACAATCGAGAGTAATTTACTTATTATACTTAATTTACATTCATAAAAAGTGTCTAATGAATTTTGAATTCAATCCATTCCGTTTCACAGAAAAATGTATAATCTATACTCCTTACCACACTATCACTTATTCGATATGAATATGAGTATATTGATCAGATCGTCTATAAAATTCAACACCTTTTTCGTCTATAAAACTTGAACTTATATATATATATACCTGAGTTAAAAGTTGGGAGAGGAGTTGGTGGCGGTGCTCGGCTTCCTTTTCACCTTCATCATCTTTGTTGATGGTATTATCAACGGCGACAAAGCTCTCTTCAAGAAGCTGACGTCTTTTGGATTGGACTTGTTCTTCTTGTTCTATTAACTGCTCTATGGCTTTCTGTATGAGCTCTACTTTTTCCACCCTTTCCATTTTCTAAATTTTCTCAATTTCCAGTAGCTTCTTTCAAGTTTCAACCGACCTAAGCAGAGACGTGTGCTATAGCGATAGTGGGTCATACATACAGTACTAGAAAACAAAATTGTTGTAGAGAGTCAAAAACGACCTCAATCCACTTCGGCTTCGACCGTCAACATTAACCACTCATCCCTTGGCACGTACTAATATTGCGCTACTTATCCTTTCTTTGCTCAGAATTTTAATTAGCTAATAGCGACGTTCGGGCAAGAAAATTGACTAAACTATTATAAATACACTAAATTGTGAATGGTTGTGAAAATATTATACCGTGGATATCTATTTAGTACTTTATTTAGCGGTGTTAAATGGCCGGGTTTGATCGATTTTTACTACTAAAAATTCAGTAAAAAACGATCACATATAGCGACCAACGTTGATCGCTTATCTCAATATACCAACCAACTTTAATTGCTAAGGTAAAAGGACCAAATGTTCAGTGTAAACAAAATACCGATCAACTTTGGTCGGTATAATATTTTAATAATATAAATTTAGTGACCAACGTTGGTCTGTATATTTAAATTACGATATTTTTTTAATTATTATAATTCAAAAATTAGCTACCAACGTTGGTCTGTAAATTAAAATGTATATTTAACAATCTGGGTTCATAAGCGACCAACTTTGGTCGCTTATTTTTAATTTTTTTTATATATAAGCGACCAACCTTGGTCGCTAATTTTCAGGATTTTTCTTTAATAAAATCTGGGTTCATTAGCGACCAACCTTGGTCGCCAATTCTTAATTTTTTAATTTTTTTTAGACAGCTAATTGCCAGAATTGTTTTTTAATAGGTAAGCGACCAACTTTGGTCGCTTTTCTGGGTAATAATTTTGGCATAAAATGCCTGTTTTGACAGCTACACCATCTGCCAGCATACCAAAATTCCTAAATAACAATATAATTCAATTCATAAACGACATTTTCAATACCAAAATCTCCACAACAACCCAACAACAACACAACAACAACAACACAATTCAAAAAACACATTAAAACCAACAAATTAAAGTTCAATAGAACTAACAAAACTATGTTAACGCTTATTACAACTAGTTCAAAACCGGTTCTATTTGTCTAGTTAACTTATAAAAGTCAAGGAGTGTTTTGTACAACATCATTATCATCATCGTTTGATGAATTTTTATCAACAAGACGATATAGAGAAGGGTCTACCTGTCGAGGACTGGAAGAACGATCACGGGGAGGATGGGAGGAACGAGCACGGGGAGGACGAAAGGAACGCTCACGTTCAAGTCTAACCTCTGGCGATGATTCACGAGACCGGGGAATCGGAAAAGCTCCAAAACTAGGAGAGTTTTGAGCTGAGCTTGCAAGACAATGTACTGAGCATCTCTAAGCTTTTCTCTTTCCTTGGCCGCTTCTAGCTCGGATGTGAACTTTGTCACAATCTCCCGCATATCGGAGAGGCTCTCCCCATCAAGTTGCTCGCTTTGTGAGGAAGTCCCTATTCCTTGCATTTCACACTTATAGCGATGAAATTTCTTAGTAGGAAGCCCGTATACCTTCCCCCATTTTGGACCGCCAGCAACCTCCATCCATTTTCTTTCAGCATTCTCGTCCGAAGGTTGGATTGGCTCGCCCGACTCATTAGGTGGCTGACTGCGTATGAATTCCTCCACGTCAGTTGTGAAGCGACACTATAAGAAAAATTACATTGAATTACTATTTCAAAATTTATATAAAAGTAAATCAAAATACTCAATGAAAAGTGAAAACTTACATGTACAGTCGCCCACCTTTCTTGATCCGCCTCTTTCTTCTTCTTTACAATATGAGTCTCCTTGAATAGCTCATCTTGGTTCATTGGACGCCCCAACTTCTTTTCCTGAAAACTCATAAATTTTAGTTAATAAACAGAATAGATATACTTTGAAAATTAAAATAAATTAAGCAATTACGTACCAATCTTCTTTTTATTGTCCCTACGCAGATCGCACCTCCAGTGTGCAAGGAGCCTCCCTTCTCAGATGCACGAGATTTCTTTCCTTTTTTGCTCTTCTCTAAGAACTTTGCGGTAAGCCATTGCCTTTGCAAATCCTCCCATAAATTTTGAAGCAACCAGTCAGGCTTCTGGTTCAACTTTCTAGCTTTGGAGAAACTATGCGACAACCGCTTGCGAGCTGTGTGATGAAAATTTGCAGTCACTTCCGCGCTATAGCGGTGTTCCCATACACACTTGCTCTGTATTTCAAAAGTTAAATATTATATGGAAATATCATAAATATAAATAATTATACTGCTTAAAAGAACATTTATACCTTAAATTGATTGAAAATTTGCTCCTTCAGCGAGAATGGGAATTCACTCCAAGTCGCATAAGGGCCATCATAAAGCTTTCTAGTGGCTTTGTTGATTATCCTCATAGTAATATTACTCCGGACAAACCTGCAATTTAACAAAAAGAATACATTAATATCTTAGTACAAACTGTACAAAACAATAAACGTAAAAATAACAAATAACTCTTACCCATCACCCTCGGAGACTATGATGATCCTGTCATATTGATCATAATGCACCTCCTCGTCATCATCAACATCACCGTCTAAAGCATGTATATCAGAGGCATGTGTGGAAGGTGTAGGGGGTCAGAGCTACTATCTCGCAGGCAAAGGCCTAAAATAGATGGAGTCGCTGATGAAGATGGCTCCGATCCCTGTGACTGCAACATAGCTAGATGGACCGCAAGTGGTTGTGATACTGATGGCTGTGACCCGAGTGGCTATGACACAGATGGATGTGATCCATGTGGATGTGACATGGATGGATGCGATCCATACGATGCAGATGGCTGCGATCCACATGGTCGTGAGGCATCTGGACTGTATGCCAGACGTATAGTCCTATGGCCCTATGATGAAAGACCCGGTGTCTGCATGAAGGTGTAGGGCTCGTGATGTTGTGGCAGCTCAGAATAGCCTTGGGGTGGAGGATAAGACATAGGCATAGGCATAGGCATCTCTGAAGAGGGTGGAAAAGATGGAGTATTATCTTCTACCCCCCTCTTTCCCTTCCTAGCCTTTTCTCGACCCCGAGAACCAGTAGGGTCATTGTTACCTCGACCCTTTCCTCTCATCTACATAATATAATATATATTTAGATTGAAGCATATAAGAAACTATATATAAAATGATAGTTATTAAAGAAACCAACTTTTTAAAGCTCACCGACGTATTGTTCCTCGTCCGAGAATTCTTCTTCCTCACTAGTTTAGGCTTCATCAGTTGATTCTTGTTCCTCATTTTTGATAATTGTTACTTCATTTATATCAACTTCTTCCAATATGTGTTCAGGATGTTCCAAATTATTTTCTAAAAGTTCGTTCACAATTTGATGAACACTGGAGATATCGTTTTGATATGCAACATCTAACACATTCTCGACTTCCACCCTACCTACATATTTAGTTTTTATTACAACCCACCAATCGGACTTATTCCGCCTCAATGGATAAGGATCATAATACACTTGCCTAACATTATGTGCAATTATGAAAGGATCATAGCGATCATACTCCCTCGTATGATTAACCTCAATTATGTTGTATTGGTTCTGTACTCTTGTAACTTTTGTTGGATTTGGGTCAAACCACTTGCATCTAAAGAGTATCAATTTCTTATATGGCCAACCTGTATATTCTAGTTGTAATATTTCTTTGACCACACCATAATAATCAATATCTCCAACTTGGTTGCCATCACCACCTTGAACCCACACCCCGCTGTTGTTGCTATTTTTATTTTTAGAGCAATCCTCTATATGAAACTTATAACCATTCACAACGTACTTAGACATTGTTGTGACCTGAAGCCCAGGTCTCCAAGATATATCTTTCAAAAATTGATTTACACCATTATTTGGATCATTTACCTACATATTGTTAAAAATATTCATAAGTTAGTATAATTCCCAAACATTTTTTTACCTACATAGTGTTAGAACATTATAAGGATAAACTTACGAATTGTTTGAACCACGTATCAAATCTCGTATATACAACATCATGTGATTGTGACACATCAAATATTTTTAGTAGTTGCATTGAGATGTAATCACAGTAAATTTTATATTTTGATAACTACTAAATCAATACTTACTTGAGAAATGGTACAACTTCGGGACAATTTAGCAACACATGAAGTGTAGCTGACTTGTACTCCATATCACTCAAACTTCTCTTTCTAAAATCCTTAGAACATCGGCCTGGTTGATTGAATATAGACATAGGCGGATATAATGGATCATTCAAACATTCGACCGTGTACCTATTGGGACTATTCCTAGCACATGGCACATTACTCTCAAAATAATAAGAACAAAAATGAGCAGTTTCCTTAGCCAAGAACATTCAAATAAAATAGAAAATTACATTAAACTTATAATATTACCTCTCAAAGGAATACATCTATCTGCATTGAACATGCCCTCCAAGTCGTGCCTCGTGTACAAGGTGGATTGGAAGGTATTCCATCAAATCAAAAAAATTACATGGAAATATCTTTTCCATCTTAGTAGAAGTTACACGAATGTTCTGATCCATCCAGAGTAGGCTTTCTTCCCTTAATGTGAAAGAACACAAGTCTTTGAAAAACAAACTAATCTCTGTGATAGGTTTCCAGATTCTTTCAGGCAAACCACAAAATGCAATAGGCACTAAGGTCTCCATGAAAACATGACAGTCATGACTTTTCAAATGGCTCAACTTCCCTAACTCCATATCAACTTTTTTTCCAAGATTCGACGCATAACCTTCAGGCATCTTCAATTTCGTTACCCAATCACAAATTTGTCGTCATTCCTCTAAAGTGAATGTGTAACTTGCTTTGGGCTTGAATATCTTACTATTGTTTTCTGTCTGCAAGTATAATTCAGCCCGCTTGCAATATTCTTGTAAGTACATTCTAGCCTTCGAGTTATCTTTTATCTTACCTTTAATATCCATCACTGTGTTGAACAAATTGTCAAAATAATTCTTCTTAATATGCATGACATCAAGGTTGTGACGGAGAAGATTATCCT